TTTTTTTTTGAGTTGGAGTCTCACTCTGTCACCCAGGCTGGAGTGCAATGGCCGCTCCCGGCCACCGCAGCCTCGACCTGCTGGGCTCCGGCGATCCTTCCGCCTCATCCTTCCAAGTAGCTGGAACTACAGGCGCGCGCTACCACGCCCAGCTGATTTTTTTTATTTATTGTAGAGATGAGATCTCGCCAAGTTTCCCAGGCGGGTCTCGAAACTGCAGGCTCAGGCAATCCACTCATCTCAGCCTCCCAAAGGCGCGGGATTACAGGCTGAGCCACTGAGCCTGGCTTAAGTTTTGTTTTGGATTAGGGTCTCTGTCACCCAGGCTGGAGTACAATGACAGCCAACCTCAGACCTTGGGCAAGTTTCTAAATCTGTTCCTCAGTGTCCTCCTCTAAAGCAAGAGAAATAGAAACAACATGGAGTTGTTTTGAAGAGCTAATGATCTAATGCAGAATGGTGCTGGCCATATAACAGCTCTCATTGCTGGTTCCTATGCCAGCCTTGTGAACTTGAACTATGGGTGTTATCTGTCCCGGTTGCATTGCTCATCTGTTCAACAGTTTACTGGTGTTTGCATGTGCCCAGTGTCATTCTAGGCTCTAGAGAAATATCCGTTAACAAGCAGGGTCTGCCAGTGGGCTTGTGCTGAGGTCGATTGGGAACGTTTGATCGGGGCCGGCGTTCATTTGAGTTGCTGTGGGGTGGCATCCCCTGGAGTCTCATAGCTGGGTAGAGTCCACAGCAGAGACTAGGAAAGCTCCTCCCAGGAGTGAGGATGCCTCGGCAGGGGGCGTAATGAGCCTCAAAGGGCAGGGATTCTGCTGAAATGAAAGTGGAACCGAAGAGCCTGAGAACAGAACCCTCAAATGAACTTCGGGCCCTGCTGGGGCTCGTGTCGACCAAAACTCCTTAGAGGGTACAAGCAAGAGTTCAGCTGTGGTGGACTCCGCCACTCTGCCCAGCTCTGAAGCCTCAGCTTTTGCCAAACAGGCCCCAGACCCATGTCGGCGACCCTTGATGAGGTAAGTGAGGAGGAATGTGTTAGTGGGGGCGGAACTGGGCTGGGATTACCTCTCACCTACGGAGTTGGTCCCTAACCTGTTCCTCAAAGACAGAATTCTCTCAGCCTCAGGAGCTCTTGAAATCCTTGTGTGACTGTGCACTTTTCTGGAGAGAGAATCCATAATTTCCATCATATACTCAAAGAGTTCTGTGACCCAAATTAGAATTGTTCTAGGCCCAGTGCAGTGGTTCATACCTGTTATCCCAACACTTTGGGAAGCTGAAGGGGAAAGATCTTTTGAGGCTAAGAGTTCAAGACCAGCATGGGCAACATAGCAAGCCTACATCTCCACAAAGAAAATAATTGTTCTAATGCTTAACACATCCTTATTCCCTGAAACCTTAATCTTCTCCCCCTAAATTCTCTCCTTCCTAATAGTTCTATCCCATCTCTCTTTTTTTTTTTTTTTTGAGTTGGAGTCTCACTTCTTCGCCCAGGCTGAAGTGCAGTGGCATGCTCACAGCCACCCCAGCATCAACCTGCTGAACTCAGGCGATCCTTCCGCCTCAGCCTTTATTTTTATTTATTTGAGTTGGAGTCTCACTCTGTCGCCCAGACTGGAATGCAGTGGCTGCTCCCAACCACCGCAGCCTCGACCTGCTGGGCTCCGGCGATCCTTCCGACTCAGCCTTCCAAGTAGCTGGAACTACAGGTGCGCACTACCATGCCCGGCTCATTTTTTTTATTTACTGTAGAGATGAGGTCTCGCCAAGTTAGCCAGGCAGGTCTCGAACCTGCGGGCTCAGGCAATCCCCTAACCTCAGCCTCCCAAGGCGTGGGATTACAGGCTGAGCCACCGAGCCCGGCTCTGCCTCAGCCTTTAAAGTAGCTGGAACTACAGGCGCGTGCTACCACACCAGGCAAATTTTTGATTTATTGTAGAAATGAGGTCTCACCATGTTGGCCGGGCTGGTCTGGAACCCACCAGCTCAGGCAATCCACTTGCCTCGGCCTCCCAAAGTGCTGGGATGACAGCCCGGCCTCCATCTCATCTTAACCTTGGGCCCTCTCCAGGCTCAGAAAGATGTGTTTCTCCTCTGAGAACTAAACTGCTCCTCTGCTGTGGTCCACCCCTTCCTGACTCACGAATGCCTCTACCTGTGCTAGACTAAGCTCTGTGAGGGCTAGTGCCCCGTCCACTCTGTTCATCACTGACCCCCAGGACCGAGCACAGTGCCTGGCATGCAACAGGCACTTAGTAAGTGCTGTTGAATGAATGACTCTTGCTCTCTCTCCGATTTTTTTCAGCCTTTTCCTTCCTGATACTGCCCCAACTGTTAAAAATGCAAAGAGCTCTCACTTGGAAATTTTTCACTTGCTTCTCAAGTATAATAAGACCTCAGGGCTGGGTACGGTGGCTCAGCCTGTAATCCCGTGCCTTGGGAGGCTGAGGTGAGTGGATTGCCTGAGCCCGTGGGTTCGAGACC